TACTCCAAAGAGATAAAATATACAAGCAAAAATTAATATTCTGAGTCAAAGTTCAGCAGCCAAGATACTCTGACAGCTTCAGACATAAACAATATTAAAAGTCATAGGAGGGTCCTATTTCATGGAAGTGTTACTGTCTACAATTATTTGTGTCTAGTGCACTGCCTGGCACATGGTAAGTTAGCTTAGCTTACTGAATAAATGAATGGATGTATGAAAGAATGGGCTTCCGTGGTGGCTCAGATGGTAAAGAATCTGCCTGCAAAGCAGAAGACCATCCCTAGTTGGGAAGGTCCCCTGGAGGACAACGTGACAACCCACTCCAATATTCCTGCCTGGAGAATCCCCATGGACAGAGGAGCTTGGTGGGCTCCTCATGAAAGAATGAATGACTTTTGCTGGCAGTAGCTCAAAAGCCACTTTGTGAGGAGGTCTGGTCAACCCAGACACTAAGCGTCTTTCTGGTGGCCCCAGTGACCCTGTTGTTTCTCGGCATCACCAGCTCCAGGACAGAGCAGCAGATCCATTAAAATCCCTCTAACCCAAATCATCGTGGACCTAAGGGCTGGGACTTCCTAACATCATCAGTTTTAGAAATCCGACTGGGTCTAAATGTCATTTGGTTTAACTCTTCCAGAGATTCCTTCCAGAAAAGGGTGGGTATCTTCAAAGGTCACTGCATCTCCTCTCACCTCCACCACAGGAATAAAAGTTGAGAGTGGGAAAAAAGCAATAGATAATCACTTTTTTGTTCTAAAGTGCCCCAGCAGCAAATCTTAGTGACATCTGCCTCCAATTAAGCCCTTCCAATGCAGCTTTGTGGCTGAGTCCAGCTGCAGTCCACCAGGAGGTATATTTCAGCTGAGGTGTCATTCACTAACATCATTCACTAAAGTAATAAGGAACACAGTTTTGAACGTGCTTTGACATTTATTATCTCATTTGAGGTCCATTACAACCCAGGGAGGGGGGGGAAGGTGTTTTACAGAATGGAAAGCAGGCTTGGAGATGTAGAGACCACACAGCAAGCAGGACACCGGGCTTGGGCCAGACCTTCGTCTCCTAACCCTGTCCCAGTACTGCTTCCACTATGCTGGGTTCTAACCCTACTTTCTCATCACCCAGAGTTGGGGAAAGCAATGAGGACCCTGTGGTGCCTGGTGTAGCTTCTGCTGCCTCTCATTCAGGACCTGAGTCCTTGTTTCCAAGGTCAGGATGGTCCTGGGTACCTGATACCATAGGGTCTACAAGAGAAAGCTGAGGAAACATCCCTTCTCGAATCACACACCCAGGAAGAACTCTATACTCCAGATGGGTCTGTCTACTGCAGGAGAAACCTGGACCCGAATTCCCCAGAGACAGGACTCTTTGTTACGGCAACCTTAGGAGACAGATAGACAACACCCAAACAAAAATATGTAAGTCTGAAGTCATGCCTATTAACACTAAGGAATTAATATTAATGCCTAGTAACATTAAGGAATCAAGGGCACAGGGGAACTGGTAAACAGAGAGGATGAGGAGAAAGAGAAAGGCAAATACCATATGACACCACTTATACGTGGAATTTAAAATAGGACACAGATGCACTTATCTACAAAACAGACTCACAGACAGAAAACAGGCCTGTGGTTGCCAAGAGGAGCGGGGAGAAGGGGAGGGATGGACTGGGAGTTTGGGGTTAGCAGATGCAAACTAGTATATGTAGAATGGACAAACAGCAAGGGCCCACGGCATAGCACAGCAATATGTATTCAGTATCCTGAATCCTGAAATAAACCATAATGGAAAAGAATATAAAAAGGAATGTGTGTGTGTGTGTAACACCAAATCAGTTTGCTATACAGCAGAAATTAACACAACATTGTAAATCAACTCATTTCAATAAAAATATTAAATTTAATTTTTTAAAAAAAGGATGAGTGAGATTTAAACTCCTGAGCAGGTGTCAGACCTGGCAGGGGTGAAGTAAGCAGGTGAGGAAACTGGCCAAGCGACTTTGGGGGGGGGTGTTGGCTTTGAGGGGTGGACAGAAGGTGACATCCTGTGACAGGCTCCTCACCAAGGAGCTGCTTTACCCTCCTGGGTAGAGGTAGGCATTTCTCAACAAAATCCTCTCACTTTTTAAGGGCAACAAATCATAAATTCGTCAGTTTATAATCAACATATAAGCAAAACCGTGTGAAGCTTCCTGTCTCCAATTTGGCATTTCCCTTGACTATGTTTCATCATTTCTAAATGAGACCACAAGCCACGACTGAGGAAGGATCCACTGGCCTGTGTCTCTATATATAGTCCTTCATCCACCACAGTAGAAGGTGCTAAGAATCCAGTGATTGATGACGATATTGCTAAAATGGTTACATTTGGAGCTGGAAGAAGGAAGGTATTTTTTTTCCATGAAAACGGGGGAGGAAGAAAGCCCCCTCACGGTTTCTAATATTGATCTGGTTCCACTGTAGTCCCGTGAAATAAACATCTATAAAGTCACCATGTCTCATTGGAAAAGACCTTAAGAGCCGTCTCCAGGAGCTTTCCCAGCAGTCATTAGGGGAGGTATCGTTGCTAATCCTGAACTCTCTGCGAGCTGGCTTAATTTCGAGAGACAAAATAAAAGTGCTGCCTTGTGACAAAAGCCCACTTCTTGGTGCCATTAAATCAAGCAAAGCTTCTGCGCCAATATTAATTCAGTCATTGCTGGCCCCCCTCTCCCCATTGCTCCTCCTTTCAGGAAGCCCCTATGGAAGATGCCAAAGGAAGCCTCGACCTGCAAATATCATTTAGCAAGTACAGATAAGCTGTAGAAAATCATGCTCAGAGCACTTAAAAAAAAAAAGATTCAAATGTTAATACATTAGCGCCAGAACATGCTGTACAAGCGACAGGGAAACTGCAGTTGTCAACGTGTGAATTTAGTCTTGGGGTAGGTTCATGCCAGGAAGTAAAAAAAAAAAATCTCAATTTAGACTTTGTCTCTACCCCTACCCCCAAGCCACGTGCTTCCCGGAGGATGTGGGGGAGTACACGATTACTCAGCAGATGTACTTCACACCAAGAAACGCTCGGGGTATATTCATCCCAGGAAAGGATGTGCGGTTCTCCCTTTGTCATTAAAGTTTCAGTCTGAGGCAGTCCTTCACGGGGCCAAGCCACACATCATGGGCAACATCCCCTGACTCCTGTGTGTGCATGCATGCATGTGCATGAGTGTGTGTGTGTGTGTGTGTATATATATATATGCATTCTTATTCATGAGAAAGGTTTCTACAGGGAAATCACAGGGATTTTGCTGTTCTATGTTTCAGAAAGCCAGCCTGCCCATCACAGCAGATGAACACGAGGAGGCTGCAGCCGCCTGGGTTGAGAGAACACTGTCAAGGGCGAAAGCCCACCCCAAGCCCACCCCAAGAGAGGCAAGGTGGGGGAGAAGCTCCGAGTCTCCCTGGGGGCTGGGGGCACATGGAGGGCGACAGAAGCCCAGGCCAGCTCTGCTGATCTGAAACCGAGCCGGATTCCAGTTCAAGTCTGACAGGCTGCTTTTTGCTGTTATCAAAGCAGCAGACTCAAACTTTCATTTCAGAAAGCATCTGGTCTCTCCGTCCATCCCATCAGAAACAGCTATTTTCTTCAAATTGGAAATAAGGAGGTTTATTCTTCTCAAAACTGTGCTGTCGGCTCTTCTGCCTGACTTCTAACCTTCACTTCTTTTGCACAACAGCTAAGCTGTCTCATCCGAAAAAGGGGTGGGCTGGGGGAGCCCGCCCCTGGACATTACATGAGTGATAGATTTGCATCAATCTTTGTCTCCAAGGAGAGTCTATCAGAGATAAAGATGCAAAGTATTTAGAGAAAACTTAATTAGAGGGAAAGAGGTACCAAACCACTCTTCCAGCCTTCTCAACCAAAACATCAATAACTGAAATCTCTTCAAGTAATAGAGCTACAAAATCTTTTATTAGGCATTTAAAGTTTTAATGATAAATGGGCAACCTCTCTTATTCTTATCCCTCCCTATACACCTGAAGTCATTTTAAAATGATGAAATAACTGTAATGTGTTTAAATGCATGTACCTGTTATACATATGTGCATATAATATAGACAGTCTATGTGAATGTACATCAGCCATATTTGGAGCTCCAGTATTTCCCACCCACTTGGTCAAAAGCTCATTAATTTATCTGCATTTATCTAAGCAAGAAATTCATTATCACTTCAAAAAGTATTTCCAAGTAGCAGCAATCTGAATTAACAATAAATATGTACTATGTCCCTAATTAAATCAGAAGTCATATGGCTTAGGAAAGGTCTCTCTGTTCAGGGCAATCGTCTTTCCTGTGATGCTGTTAAGATTATGAGATGATTTATGGTATCAGAAAACATCCTTCTTGAAGTTACAACCTTTCACATCCATTTCCTAAGATGTATCGTTCCCTCTTTATCAACGGTTCCTTCTCTATCAATTGGAAAAAAAAAATCACATTTCATTTTTAATTGAAGGATGCTCTTTTCTGACCCTTCACAGATCCAAACGACACACAAATTCTGACGTATTTAAAGGAAAGGGACATAAGACCATCTTTCTCAGGACCTACAGGAGAAAGGAGGCCATGTGAAAGCTGAGTCTAGACACATGCTCAATAACTGTACGACAACATACCTTTCAACTATGAGTTTTGATAAAAATATGTAATTAAAACCGTAGACATCAACACCATGATTTTTCTATAGAACACCAATGTAGTTAACAAAATGGTTATAAATGAGCCACTGGTAATTTACTCTTCTAAATGATTTAACCTTTCCAGTGATCATTTCATCTGTTTTCTATATTAAAAAAATATCAAAGAAATTCGAGATATGGAAAAGCCACGTTGGCTGAGGATCTGAAACTGATTTGGTAGCTTTTGAGTTGACATAATCTTGGCCCGAGTGCAGCTCATTTTGGAAAGCTGCCTCAAATTTCCCCTGGTTTTGAACTTTTTTTTTTTGTTTCCTTACCACTTTCATCTAGCAAGAAATCATCCTGGTAACGGAACTTCTCCGGTCCACATGCAATAAAAATGTCATCGTCACCAAAAAAGTCCTGAAGGCACATCACCTACAAGAGAAAAGCATGGCACTCAGCAAGGGGTCAGCAGAACAGCAATTACGGCAAAGCATCCCCGCCAGTGGACATCTGCATCCAGCCCCTTCCCACCTAATGGAATCAACAGGGCCGCTCCTCCCGAGGAATTTCAAAGGGAGGTTTCTCAGCATCTGTTACTAGTAAGAAACATGTTCCGTTTCAGTGGTGCAGGAAGGCGGGATAAGGTACATAGAACCGGTAACTGTCACATTTATGACTTGATATATCAATAGGCTAGGAGTTAAGAGCCCTTTATTTTCACAAGAGACTGGACACAGCAACTTGTAGAAAAGGAGTGCTCCTTCACTCCTCTGGTTGCAACCGTCCTGGAGAGCAGTAAAAGTCAGCGCCTGATTTTAGCAACAAATGTGTTTTCTCGTAACTGATGCCATAGTTACATGATGATGGTCACTGGGGCAACGACTAGAGAAAAATATTTGTACCCTAACAGGACTAGAACAATCTCCTTTAGACCCTGTCTGTGCTGTGCTAAGTCGTGCCCGACTCTTTGGGACCCCACGAACTGTAGCCCGCCAGGCTCCGTCCATGGGGTTCTCCAGGCAAGAATACTGGGCTGGATTGTCATTTCCTCCTCCAGGGGATCATTCCGACCCAGGGATCAAATCCGCGTCTTCTGCATTGGCAGGAGACTTCTTTTATCATTGAGCCACCTGGGAAGCCCAAAATCGCTTCTACCTCTATCTAAAACAAAAATGGTACCCTTCACAAAAGTAATAATAGAAAATGTCAGTTATTTCGGAGATTTACCTACAGAGACGAAGCAACTGTATCCCTCATCTCAAGCTAAGCTGAACTTTAACACTCGCATGATTCCCTAGCTTGTGGTCACACAAAGGGAAAGTTTTAAAACAACCTTTTGATATTTTATTCAACTTCTCCAACATGAACTTTGAAAGCTAAATGCCGCTTTTCAAGTAAATGTAGTCCAGATGGATAATTCCGAGCTAACTGCTCTGTCTCTGAAGATGTGGATGTGCAGTATAATATTTTTGCTCTTGTTGTTCACAGTATGTATAATGCTAGTAGAAGGCACCGGAAACGATTCTGATTTCTATCTATTTTCAATTTTCTTTGACCACTTGGAGCAGATTGTAAAGCGGTCATGTGAAGGCACCATTCAGACCTGCGTGAAATAGACTTTCGTATTTATTTATTGCATTTTCCCTTGGATATTTGAGGATCAGAGACAAGCCTTGCTGTGTCTGATGTGTGAGATGTTTTTGGTCTGTGCTTCCTGTGAACCCCTCCCTTATGTACTGGTACTTCATCCGCAGGGTACTGCTGGGGTTCTGGGGTTCTGCTCCTTGTCAGTTCAAGCCGTAACGTGTCCCTGACAAGTCAAAGATGCTGGAGCACTTGCAGAAGTAAGGTGGGAAAGGATAGCATCGTTCAGAGCCCCAGATGCAATGCTGTGGAGGCATCAGATAGTTTTTCTCCAATACTCCCTCATTCCCAAACAACTACTTGGACAGAGTGAAGTCAGAAAGAGAAAAACAAATGCCACATATTAACACATACACGTGGGGTCTAGAAAAATGGTGCAGACGAACCTATTTGCACAGCAGAAACAAAGATACAGATGTAAAGAACAAACACGCGGATGCCAAGTGGGGAAGGGAGGTGGATTAGCAGATTGAGATGGACACATATACACCACTGTTACTACGTGTAAAACAGATAACTAATGTACAGCACAGGGCGCTCGACTCGGCGCTCTGTGACCCAAATGGAAGGGGAGTCCGAGAAAGAGGGGAAACAGACACACAGACAGCTGATTCTGGAGAGGGAAATGGCAGCTCACTCCAGGACTCTGGCCTGGAAAGCTCCTTGGACAGAGGAGCCTGGAGGGCTACAGTCCATGGGGGTCGCAAAGGGACGCAACTGAGCGCGCACACACACGCAGCTGACTCACTCTGCTGGAGAGCAGAAACTAACACACATGGTAAAGCAGCTGAACTCCTATAAACGTCAAAACCAACAACAACAAAATCCCCACGAATCACCACTTGGCTGAGGTCTTCAGAACGATACTTCTCTCACAGTTTGACAGTGAGCATTAAGTGTGAGCGAGGGACATTCGTGGTGGTCAGTGCTTATTCTGTCTCTAAAAGCTTGAAAACACAGGTGACTTAAGAGGGACACTGAAATCATCCAGGGAGATGAACCGGAGGTCTTCAACACTCAGAAGCTTTGATCGTCTACTTGGGTTAGTAACAGGCCTTTTGAATTGAGAACCCGCTCTCTGTTTCAATCCTCTCCTTCTGTCAGATTCCAACCATGACTCTCTTCATTTGTATCTTCATGACACAGCACCCCAGCACTGTGACCCCAGCTTTTCTGATCATCGTGGGAGTCATCACAACCAACCCTGCCCAGGCCGCCGTTATTTTAGTCACATGAGTCCATACTGTGCCGACTATCTGTCCGTTAGCATATAGCACACAGGCATATAAAAGAGTAAAAATGGGAAACCACGTCTTATTCAGGCAAAAATGTGAACAATTAACCCTAAAAAGCAGTGTTTCCTAAAGTGAGAATGATTAATAGAATTTGTGCCCCAAAGGGTCCTATGGCCAAATGGATTGGGAAAATATTTCTTCAATATAAACAGATTTCTTTATTTCGTGCTATGTCATTTCAGTCCTGTTTGACTCTTTGCGACTCTATGGACTGTAGCCTGCCAAGGTCCTCTGTCCATGGGATTCTCCAGGCAAGAACACTGGAGTGGGTTGCCATTCCCTTCTCCAGGGTGTCTTCTCGACCCAAGGATCAAACCCATGTCCTGCACTGGCAGGTGAGTTACCACTAGCGCCACCTGGGTTTGTTTCTTTCTGATCTTCTCAAGACCCTTAATGTGCTAAGTACACTGCAACTCCAAAGAGGAGATGTAAAAATACAGTGTTTCCCAGACTTACTTGATTCTGGAACTCTCCTCACCAGCATGGTATGCTCTCTTATTGGATAGGTTCCCTTTGGTACTATGCTGACAGCTGTTAAGTGAAGAGAATTTTAAATTCATTCAAACATTTAAGCTGGACCTACTCTGTGCCAGGCTCTATGCCAAACATTATGATGACAAAGCTCTGTTGGATGAAAAATACTGTTTTCCAAAAGAAAAAAAATGCCCTTTCTTTCCACATATTCCCATCATTTGCATTTCAGAATGTCAGTTGGCCAACCAGATCACCTCTATCTACCAGTGGCTACTTTATGCCACTGCTAAGGGAACAAATAACTATCAAAACTATAATGTGTTATGAGCAGGTTGCCAGCCAACTCCCATCCATCATATTCTGATGACCATCCTCCCAGCCGGAGACTCAGAGGATAGAGCAACAGTGATACAAACTGGATGGTTTAAGTAGAACTGTGTTCCAAGTGGGAAGTGAAACATGATGAACTTTTGATGTTGTTTCCAACTCCAGGACTCCAAGAACATAAAAGGAACACAGTGATGGCTTTGGAAAAGTAACTGTCATCACTCAGCACACACAAAAAAAGAAGACAGGGAGAAGAAGTCCTTTCGATGCCAAGCAACATGTATCCATTTACCTCTCAATCTTCAGTGAGTGAAATCAAAGAATTTGTTCAACTGTCAGGAACTGTGATGTTTTCTATGCTCTCTGCTCTGGCATCATTTATCCATTTCCCTGCTTACAAAATTCCCACCCAGAGAAGGTGGGTAGGGTCAGTAGATCAAGTTCAAATTTAGAAAACTGCTCCCTGTTAGAAGCCTTGGTAAAAGAGTTGATAGCAAAGGAGGCTTAAACACAAGGTTACAATAAAGATGGATTTAGGATAATCTATGCACTTTGTCTGTGTTCTCACTCTCGATCATTGAGCTGGAGGCAGCTACAAATGTATTCTATCCCATCTAACAATAGAGCATAACAGAGGAAGATTTATAACCTTTTTCTCTAGGCCAATATACTTGGAGATTTTTCCTTTAGGCATTATAGTATTTTCTGACATCAAAGGATTAGAAAAGATAGAGAAATGTAAAACTAATATTGTGTGTAATGATCTGATACATCTATGCAATGCTGTTCCTTCTTAAGTCTGAGGTTCTCAAAAGTCAGTGTGGTAACCATTTTTGAGAAACAAGTTCCATTTATGGATTAAAACAACAACAACATTCCTTGCTACAAAGAGATAGTAGCAGTTGACCTTCTCTTCTGTGAAATCTCTGGTCAACAGGTATCAGGTATTGGAAGCATCCATCAAGACTGGGTCCAAGAAAGATGCAAAGGCAGAAAGATGACGTTTGAGAAAAGAAAGTCCAGCCTGTCCCTGTTCACCATCACTCCTGCCTCCAGAAGAGGTGGTACAGTCAATGCCCATCTACCTCTGTGGTCTCCATGGCCACAGATGCTGCCCCAGCACCGTCTCCCAGACCCAGGCCTTCCCTGCCCCTCCTCAGCACCCCCATCACCACCTCAGTCCACAGCTTAGCCTCCTACCTGTGGACCACGGTTTTTCTCACTCCCACCTCCTTTCTCTCCCACTGATCCTACTTAATTCTCTTAATCTCCTTCTTCTTAGCAAACTTTCAGTCTCTCTCTCCGTGGCTCACACAAACACCTATGACTTATCATCACATTGAAGTTCATCTTTGAGTGTGGCATTCCAGGATCCTCAAAATCTGCTCTGAACCTAGCTTTCAAGTCCATGGTAACTTTAGCCATGAGATGCTGCCTGATACTCAATAAGCGTTGATATAGATGGATGGATGGATGGATGGATGGATGGATGGATGGATGGATGGTTGGATGGATGGTTGGATGGATGGATGGATGGATGGATGATGGTTGGATGGATGGATAGATGAATGGTTGGATGGATAAATGGATGGATTAATTTAAGTACTATGCTCTAACAGGAAACATGTTACAATTTATCTGCTTTACTTAGTCTCCTTGGAAAGGACTTCTTCTATCTTATGTGTGTGTGGCTTTGGAACAAATTTTTTTCCCATTAGGTATCCCCTCCTACTAACTCTTTGACTACTCAAATCCTTTCTATGGCTTACAGCTCCATTGAAGATCTAAGCCTTACCTTCTCTCTACACTCCAACCCAAAGTGACTCACCCCTGCTCTGAACCCCTGATCATCACTCCATAAGCGTTCTCTGGACACCACTGTGCGAGGCCTTGAGGATAGGACTGCCTTCAGCCTTCACCTCTTCATTTCCAGCACCTAGAGGCACAGACTGGCACTCCAAGGAACTCCTAACACACTGCGGTGAATCAGAAATTCAGCCGAGAGGAACCTGCAGCGCCTTCCAGCAGTTTGTTGTGCGCCTGGAGGCAGGTGGCTGGGGTGCGGCTCCTGCTCTGCCATGACCACTGACCCAAGCGAGTCAGGAAATCCCTGTTTCTAAAGATCCTAAACTCCGGGCAGAGATGGTTCCTCCCTGAGTGCGATTCTGTGGCCCAACAGGGACGTCCACTCTGGGACAATTCTCCAAGAGCACAGCCCGGTCATCAAAGCCCAGGTTCCGCGTTAACCCAGCTCCGCCCCTCAGACGTTCATCTCTTCATGCCTCCGTTTATTGTTTTGGTTGTTTTAAGAATTCCACTGTGACTCAGAAGAGGATAAACCCTCAATACATTTTAGCTATTTTCATTAGCCCAAATACAGTTTTCCTTCCAAATAAGCACAAATCAAATGCATAGCTAATATAAACAAATAAATAAATTTTAAAAATGCAGCAGATAGCTCCCAGGCACAACAGACTTCTATTGTAAAAGTAGATTTGGGTCAAAGGTAGCATATGGGTGCCCCATCTCACTTTGGGTCTAGGGGGTCCTAGGGGTCAATCGTTTTGGGGCAAAGCACACTTTTAAAAATATATATTTACTTAAGGTCTTCATTGTGACACGTGGGATCTGTAGTTGTGGCACGTGGGATCTTTTCAGTTGGGCCAGGTGGGATCTAGTTCCTGACCGGGGATCAAAGCTGGGCTCCCCGCATTGGGAGCCCGCAGTCTTAGCCACCGGACTGTCAGGGAAGTCCCCGAAGTACACTTTGAATTAGCATCAGGGAGCTGATAGGAAGCTGGCTGCAGTTGCTGACAACAAGTTGGGTTCATGCCCCAGGTTTCCACTGAAATGATGTGTGAAAGTCACCTGCAAGTACGTTCACCTGCGACCACGCGGATATATAGTTCTATGAACCACTGTCTTAATCAGGGACTCTTGGGGCCAAATTTTNGTGCACTGGGAAGACCCAGAGGGATGGGGTGGAGAGGGAGGTGGGAGGGGGGATCGGGATGGGGAATACATGTAAATCCATGGCTGATTCCTGTCAATGTATGACAAAACCCACTACAATACTGTAAAGTAATTAGCCTCCAACTAATAAAAATAAATGAAAAAAAAAAGAGAGAAAAAAAAAATCGGCCATGTCCATTGAGTCGGTGGTAACATCCAACCATCTCATCCTCTGTTGCCCCCTTCCTTCTCCTCCTGCCCTCAATCTTTCCCAGCATCAGAGTCTGACCCCATAGTTGGCTCGCATCAGTGGAAAATCCAATTCCAAATATTGCATCTAAGTTTATCCCTGGGGATGATTAGCATAATATCATATCCACATCTCAAAAAACATGGATGATTGTAATTGCCAGATATGCTGGAAAAAAGCCTTTGAATGGTGGTCATGATATGTAGATTCTGGGCACAGATTTGAGGTAGTTGTATAGACTTAGACCACTTACCTAACTTCTCTTGCTTATCAGTTTCTCTAATGGTTCTATGTTTTACCATAGTAGATATGTGATGAAGATATAAAGAAAAGAAGTGTGTGTGTGACAGAGCAACAAGAACCTTTCTATACACATTATTACACTTAATATTCAATATACATTATTACATTTAAGCCCCTCTGCTACGGAGACAGACTATGAGACAATAGTTAGATGCTATTTGGAGAAAGAAACGGCAACTCACTCCAGTATTCTTGCTTGGAAAATCCCCTGAACAGAGGAGCCTGGCAGGCTACAGTCCATGGGATCGCAGAGTTGGACAAGAAAGAGCAGCTGACCACACGCGCACGCGCGCGCGCACACACACACACACACACACACAGTATCCATACCTTACACATTTAGAAAAACTTAGCCAAATTAAAAAGAAGATCAATAGGAATTTGAAACTAGGTCAGTCAGAATTCAAAGGCAGGCTTTTACCTGCCAAGTTTCAGGAAAACAAGACTATTCAAATGCATAGAAACATATACCCTTGCATTCATGTATTATCAATTACAGCTGATAAAACCACTTAATTATCCTGTAGTGTATAATGAAAAGTTACCTAATAAAATTATTAAAGCAAGTTGGAATTATTTCTTTGACTCAAGGAAAACATATTCAGTTTTCTGACATTCCTTATTTGAAATCTGAAATCATATCTTTCCCATTAACTTGCCATCGTGCACTCTCATCACAGGGGACCAAGCTGCTTGTGGAGGAGAAAAAAACACTGAAGGAAATACGGACTTCCTCTCCTCTGAGCTTCCGGTTTGAATATACGGACTTCCTCTCCTCTGAGCTTCCGGTTTGAATTGCTCTGCAAGGGCGAGGATTCAAACAAAGGCAATAAAAGCATCTGCTAGTTACACATTTCCAAAGCAGGACTGTGGAATCCACTTCCCCTCACCGGAATGAGATCTCCATGGTGACGCTGACATCACCAGGTTGGGCAAGATTCTCAGCAGCGCTTGTGTGATGAGATTTTCTTAACAAGAGCACCCTCTAGCAACAAAATAAGGGATATCTCTGCAGCATGGTCTTCCTTGTTTGAAGCCACACCAGCTTGTGTTAGACACACTAAAATATTTCACCGCCACCTATTTAGTATATTTTAAGTGAAATTACAAACAACCACAAAAATAAAAGCCAAGAAATTCAGTCCGTTTATTGGCATTACTGATTATGGCCTATCCTTTCTGTTTTAATATTATTTTCCCAAAAAAATATTTATAATTCCTCATTCCTCTTGATACCAGTTAAAGAGCATAGCTTTAAAGGTTCTGTTGACTACGCTCTGATGAGGTAATCTTTACCAAAAGGAATAATTGGTATTATTCTTAATACTTAAGAAAAAAAAAAAGTTCAGTCACCTGTATCTAAGGTACCAGAAGCAACAATCTCCTTTCTACACAATTCACAGTGTGACCAATATAATTAGCTCTCAGTGAAAATATGGCACACAAAGGCCCCCTCCTCCTGCCAAAACTTAACTTTGAGAAGGTTTCTCTTCCAATGTCATTCCATACTTGGCTTCTTTCCTCATGACTTAGTATTGTTACGCCACATGCGTTGTAAGTCAACCTTTGTGAATTTCCCTGTTCTTTAAATCATGCAATTTAGAACCATAAATGTATGGTTCTAAAATATGTCTACAATTAGTTTATCTCCAGCCATTAAGAATATGTTAGGTATCGTCCCTTTATCATCTTCTCATTTCTTTGATGAGAAACTTAATGCAAATGGCAATTTATTTTACAATTGCTCCTCTTGCTAGAAATTTCTAAAAAAGAAAAATATTTTCAAGAAAGTCTGATTCTTCCCTAGAAAAAAATACAGTCAATAAGAAAAGCAATAAATTACTCTAATAAGAGTAAGATAATATCAAACAGAGATAAGGAAAGATCCTCAAACTGCTTTCTACAAGCTTAAAGAAATGGGGGGCGGGGAACACATTCTCTTTCGAAATGTAAGCAATTTAATTTGCTGGGTCAACCAGAAAAAAATCCCAAGAGTTAAGGAATGGAAAGTGAATGTATTCCTTGAGTGTGTTCTCAGACTTTGGCTCACAGGGACATCTTGTGATGGACAGAGGAGCCTCTCTGAGGGAGGAGGGCATTCTTCATCCGTGGTCGCCACCTAAATGATCCATCTCTCATTACTTATCCTGTTTTGCTTTGTTTAATATTAACATCTCTTCTTCTTCTTCTCTTTTTTAGTTATAAAATGACCGTCTAATACCTCCGTGGACTGCAACGAGATCAAATCAGTCAATCTTAAAGGAAATCAACCCTGAATATTCACTGGAAGGACTGATGCTGAAGCTCTAATACTCTGGCCACCTGATGCAAAGAGCTGACTCATTGGAAAAGACCCTGATGCTTGGAAGGATTAAAGACAAAAGGAGAATGAGGTAGCAGAGGAAGAGATGGTTAGATAGCAACCCCGACTCAGTGGACATGAATTTGAGCAAACTCCGGGAGATAGTGGAGGTCAGGGGAGCCTGGTATGCTGTTGTTCATGGGGTCACAAAGAGTCAGACCGAACAACGACAAGAACCCAGGGATGACTAGGTGCACTGGCTCTGCCACCTAATAGATGTGTGGCCTTGGGCAGCTACTGAATATCCTCAAGCCTCAGTTTCTTCATCTGTAAAATGGGGCTGTCAGCACTGGGCACCATGCCTGGCCCACGGGAGTGCACAAGGGCTGAGTAGCTGCTCCTGTCAGTGCTGGCAATGGTGAGACAGAGGAGGTCTCTGAGCAGGCGTCCTGCTGAGGGATCTGGGGCTGTCTCTTAAGAACAGAATACTGGAACCTTTGAACAGCTGGGAGAGAGAGAGGCATGGAGAACAGCGCTGACCCTGGAGCTTTCAATTCTGCCCTCTTGACAAGTTAATGCAACCTCAATCCCATTGCTCTGTCTGCTTTCTCCCGTGAGACATCGCTCCTGTTGACTACCACATCTTTATAATAGCTTACTCTGGGGGTGTCTTGGCTCAGGGGTAAAGAATCCACCTGCCAATGCAAGAGACATGGGTTCGATCCCTGTTTGGGGAAGATCCCACATGCTGTGAAGCAACTCCGCCTGTGGGCCACAACTACTGATCCCGTGCTCTAGAGTTTAGAAGCTGCAACTACTGAGCCCACGTGCAGCAACTGCCGAAGCCTGTGCCTGCCCGGAGCCCTCCCTCTGCAAAAAGAAGCCGCCGCAAGGAGAAGCCCATGCGGCACAACTAGGGAGCAGCACTAGTTGCTAGTTCCCTAGTTGCTAGTTCTCTAGCAGCCCCCGCTCGCTGCAACTAGAGAAATCCCATGCAGCAATGAAGACTCAGCGCGGCCAAAAATATATTAACTGGAAAAAAAAATTAATAGCTTACTGTACTTGCCACCAGCTTCCCAGGTGGTGCTAGTGGTAAAGAACTTGCCTGCCAATGCAGGAGACATAAAGAGACGCAGGTTTGATCCCTGAGTTGTAAAGATTTCTTGGAAGAGGAAATGACAACCCACTCCAGTACTCTTGCCTGGAGGATGCCACGGACAGATGAGCCTGGAGGGCTACGGTCCAGAGGGTCACAGAGAGACACGACTGAAGTGACCGAGCACGCACTCAGGCACTTGCCACTCCAGTTAAGGAGTGGAAGCACAGTCCAAGAAAGGTGGAAATGTCACACAGTTCTCTCTTTAAAGAGGGTACAGATCATCTCTGATCTGAGCTCAGAAGCAAACATATCACCCAACCCCAGATGGCTGCTCCTGTCTATGTCCACCCAGATCTATATGCTGAAATCCTAACCCAAAGGTGATGGTATTGGGGAGCAGGGCCCTGGGATGTGATGATGTCATGGATTAAGGTCCTTATAAAGGAAGCCTGAGAAGGTTCCTTCGCCCCTTCTACCGGGTGAGGTTACAGCAAAAAGACGGCCATCCAGGCTCTCACCAGACTCTCGACCCTGGATTCCTCAGCCTCTAGGACTGTAAGAAGCAAAATTTCTATTGTTTATGACCCACCCCAACTGCAGTATCTTGTTACAGCAGCCCTAATGGGCTAAGACAATGGATGTTCAAGCTGAGGGCTGGCATGCCCCAAGATTGGCTTATAGGACCAGCCTTATTATTCAAGTCATTCTTTTCAGGGCAAGCAAAAGGGTTCAACTTAATATGCTGTCACTCAGAGGATCTTCTAAAAGATTCATGTAAATAGGCAGTGGAGACTGTGACTCGGTTTCTAATTAGGCAGAAACATTGACTATGATCATTGGAAAAATAAATAAAATCATTATGTGATACATGAAGCCAATGAATGCAGAGATCTTCAAAGCAGATGAGGAATAACAATCCCCAAGAGGAAAACGTGGCTGCAACAGTTAATACTTAGTCATCTGCTTAACGTCTGAACAGAGGTGCTAGGCATAACGGGAGCTTCAAACCAGTCGGAAAAACACTTCAAGCTCTCACTGTCAAGGCTGAGAGGGGCTCCGGTTGCCCTTGGTGAGAGTCACAACACAGGTCCAGCCTGGCTTTGGTAGGGAACACAGATGAGGGCACCGCTTCCCTCGTGGCTCAGTGGTAAAGAATCCGCTTGCCATGCAGGAGACACAGGTTCGATTGGTGGGTCAGGAAGATCCCCGAGAGAAGGGCATGGCAATCTGCTCCAGCATTCTTTCCTGGAGAATCCCATGGACAGAGAAGCCTGGTGGGCTACAGTTCAAAGTGTCAGAGAGGACTTAGCGACTAACACTTTCAATTAAAAAAAAATCTGTAACACCACATAAACCAATAAAAGGCTCCTCTGGGTTGGATTCAGTCCACACAACTTTTGCTCTAGAAACATCCACATAAAGCTCCTTGACAATAATTACACCTTGAAAAAAGATTTACGAAAGTGTGCTCCTTCATCCATGTTTATTCAATGCACTTGTGTCTGTGGTCCAGCATGGTCACCGTTTGCGAACATCCAGATGAAGGCCAAAGAAGTGATGTTCTGAGATGCTTCTTCTGAACGTTCAGAAGCCTGGGAAATACCACAAATAGGGTGCGTCTGAGGCAAATGAAACTAAGGACAAAGGAAAGGTGTCACTAAAAAGGTAGCTTAATATGTTTTGTGGAGTAATTCCTGGTGAGCAGGTAAATTAAGAAGCTTAAGATTGCAAAGGTCGGGCTTCAAATCCAGAGGACCAAACGCAGTCCACAAAACCTGTGCTCGGCAGCACAGATGTAGCTTCTCTGGGTCAGGAGTTTAAAATGTACTTAAAGCACCTAGCTGCTCTCTTGCAATTTTATTGACTCTTTTAACTCAGTGTGCACACAGCCAATGAATTGGTGCTGTGACTCTCGACTGTGCAGAAGGAGCCCAAAATCAGTGCAAAGCTGAGATGCACCAGGCCCCGAACAGAGTTGTAGCTAACATCATAGCATCGAGTCCCCAAAAGTGCCCTTTAGTAAAACCTGATTTTTTTTTTAAAAGGTATACAAGAAAATCACAATCCAAAGAACTGGTATCTTTTTGAGGGTTAAAACAGACCCCTCCTTTTACATTCTTGTGCACTGGCTTGTCACTTGGGGTTGCAGGCAAAAAAACGATATTCCCAAATTCATGGAAGCACGCTTTGCCAAGAAAATTTGTAAATTGCTTGACATTAAACTATAGAGTTGGTTGCTTTCAATCTATTTCTAGTTCTAATCTACTTGTCTACATTTATAGATTGACATTAAAAGAGAT